GGGTGACAGAGCAATATTCTGTCTCAAAAATAAATAAATAAATAAATAAATAAATAAATCTCTGCCAATAGTCATCTTTGTGAAAAATACAGAAGTATGGAGCATTTAGTAATCTGCCCACAAATCAGAGTAAATTTGGTTAATAACAGAAATAGACCTCCTTTCCACTAGATGCAATAACTTTATTAATAGCTTCTCTCTACAAAGTTGTGGCCAATGTTTGTTTTCTTTATAATCTAATCTAGGTATTAAAAATTACTTCCTATTCAGGTAATAGCATATTTTACAATATGCACTTAGATAAGGAAGAAATTAAGATTTTAAAAATGAAGTAGAATATGAAATTACAACCAGGGTAATTAAGGTCTCTAAAGTCTCTCTTTGGTCTCCAAAGAGGGTTTAATCTCATTATTAAAAGTAATATTGAAGCAGGCATTGTCATCGTACAGTAAAATGGTCAGCTCTATGGAAGAAATGCATGAATCAAGAGTTTATACTAAAAGAATCGTAACAGAAACAACCTTCCTTCTATTTGTATTGTACTAATCATAAAAATAAGGTATTATTGACTATCCTTTCTCTTTTCCACCATCCTCTTTTTTAAACAAATTAAAATTTCCCATTATAGTCTCAAGTTTCTGCTAATGAATTATCATGTCAGTTGTCACTCAATTATCACTTTCAACATTTAATCTAAATTATGTTCAGCACCTTTTTTCTTTCTTTGAAGTTCTTCCTTGAATTTAAAAGTCAAATATTTTTCAAGAAGAGTAAGTTGATGGAAGATGGAGGCAAAGATTAAATCAGGGGAAATCATTGATCAAGGATGCTTGGAATTCTTATGAATACAAATAGGCTATCAAGGTTAATGAGGTTCAACTTGAGTTTAGAAGAAGGGAAAAGTGTACTTAGTATTTTCTATGCATATACAGATTTAAGGCCTTAGGTACAATTTAAAAGGTAAATTATGCAAACTCAAATGTAGCTTCCTTCCATTGTTTTTTTAAGAGCCATTTTTACTGTTTTTCTCTAATGTAAAACAACTGCTTGAAATACATATTCTGGATCAACAAAAACTAATGCAATTAGTAAGATATAGATAGCAAAGGTCCTGTTAAATACTGACAAATCTTCCAGAAATGGATGTGCTTTTAAGAAATGACTAGAGAGCAAACATTAGCTTTAAAAAAAACCATAAACTTTTTACAACATATTATTTCATTCAACAAATACTAATTAAGTACCTAGTATAGGTAAGACTGTGTGGGAACACACAAGGACACAGAGATAAAACTTGGTTCTTAACCCGTTTATAATCTGAACAGGAATAGAAGCTTTAAATTCATAAGTGGCTCCCAGAATGCCACAACTCTGAATTATAACATCAGTGCATACTAGTAAGTGGCCCAGAGCAAAATCTGTGCACGGCAACATATCAAAAGAAAAATTAAACATTAGACTGAGCATCAGAGTGAAAGCATAGAAGATTGCTGGAATGAGAAGAGATGCCAGTTCAACACACTCCAGAAATAAAGACATAGAATCTAGCTGAAGTAAACAGTATCTCTGGTTAGAAGGACTCTGTAAAAAGGGAGGTGGGAGGTTGAGAAGTTCTACTATAACTGATTGGTGCCCTGCATAAGAGAATAATGTTTTCATATCCGTATAGGACTCCCACAGGGTAAATCAGTGAAGTGGTACTCTTTTGTATATTAGGTCAGTGCAAAAGTAATCTCGGTTTTTGCAATTACTTTTGCACTGACCTATACTTCTCTCTTCTGAGTTTCACTGTTAATATGAGCCAGTCTCCTGGGTCACACACAGAAGACTCAAGTTTCCAGATATGAGGACAAGACCTTGAAACATGATGTCTCCACCAAGGTAAGGGCACCAAAGTTCACTCTGTCTTGGTGACAGTGCAGCTGGCTTTTTTCTGAGTCTCCTTTTCTACTTTATTTTGGCCCACTTTGCATTTTTATTTTTTTATTATTATTATCTTTGAGATGGCATCTCTGTCACCCATCCTGGAGTGCAGTGATGCAGTCTCGGCTCACTGCAACCTCCGCCCCCAGGTTCAAGCAATTCTCCTGCCTCAGCCTCCCAAGTAGCTAGGATTACAGGCACCTGCCACCACACCTGACTAATTTTTGTATCTTTAGTAGAGATGGGGTTTCACCATGTTGTCCAGGCTTGTCTCGAACTCCTGATCTCAGATGATCCACCTGCCTTGGCCTCCCAAAGTTCTGGGATTACAGGCATGAGCCACCATGCCTGGCCCCACTTTGAAATGTCTAACAAAACATACCCAGATTACTTCAAGAGACTATGAGAAAGGTGCCATAAGTATATTAGTGATATGGACAAAAGGATTATTCAGAAAGAATAACGATCACTTACAGCTGATATAATCCAAAAAGGCTTCATGGTGGAAAAAGTTTAGGATTTCCACAAAAAGAAAAGACATGCAAAGTTGTTCACAGAAACAATGAACAACTGGAACAAAGGAAAAAAAAATGGTGGAACTGAGTAGGGAAGTTTAAGAAAAAAGGAATTATTTGACAATACCACATATGAGGTTCTGTAGGAGAGGTGTCAGAAAATGAAGGTTAAAAAGAAAGACATTAATGATTGAATAAGTCATAAGAACTGTTACTATATATATGTTCTTGGGCCTGACCAATGATCTCATTTTGTGCATCTTTTTTATTCATATTTGGTCTGTGAAAAGCAACTAAAGAAGAGTAATCTCTCTTTTTTAATAGAATGTATAAGGCAACATCTTCATACTACCCAATATTCTCTAAAAATAAAGCAGAGACTAAATTTCAAGAAAAAATTTCAATTGTTAGAGGTTACAATCAAGTAATCTATGACCTAATATCTCACAAAGTCTGCATGAGACATCACTTTGAGAATAGCTTGGGAACAAAGATATTCAAATGGCCTCCAAAAGGTGCCATAAGAACATTAGTGATACGGACAGCACACTTGTTCTACCTTAATAGTTCTTTTATAATGAAAAACAAAGCATAATCAGAAGTGTCACTAAATCAGAAACAATTGCAAATTTAGTTAACTATTTTATTCTTCGAAACAAGAAAATCAGAAAAAATAAGACTAGTTAATGTTAATGTCTTACAGGGATAAACACTGTCTTTGTGATGTCCTTTGCAATGGCAACTGGAAAAAAAAAAACTTTCATTCTCAAAAAGAAATTTATTCTTAGAAGCAAGACAAACTCAAAGAACTTTCTGCATCAATTTTATTTTTATTTACTTATTTTTTAGAGACAGAGTCTTACTATATCGCCTAGGCTGGAATGCAGTGGCACAATCACAGCTCGCTGGAGCCCTGAACTCCTGGCTCAAGCAATCCTCTCACCTCATTCTCCTGAGTAGCCGAGACTACAGGCACAAGCCACTGCTCCCAGCCTGCATCAATTTTAGATCCACTGTGAGAAACAAGGAATCGGCTGCATTTGTGTTCTTTGCTATGTTGCCAGCACCTAGAACAGTGTCTGGCATGTAACAGGCAGTCAATAATATTTGATGTGTTGTAAAGACCTTTCCTCCAATTGTTTTTCACACCCAAACTCTATACAACCAAACCAAACTAACCCAAGAGGACTCAAATTCTTCCCCTAACCCATATGAAATTGAAAAAGAACTATTCAGTTAGGACAAGGAGAAAGCCAGGAATCTTGAATAAGAGCATTATTAGGCTATTATAAGTAATTTTTTTAGTGCTCACATATTTGAGATTTTTTTCCAATTTATATCACGATGGCAAGTGAAAAGAAACAATATGAAGGAAGGAAAGAAGGGAGGGAGGACCAACGTGTGGTTATGAACATAAAGCAAAGGGATTTTTCTACCTTTTAGATCTAACCAGCATAGTTTTTTTTTTTTTTAATACGTGACTTCAGCAAAATAATCATATTTTAGCATTTTCATCAGCAAGATCAAGGGCTAAAATAATACCCATGAAGAAAACTTTAAAAGTTGTATAATTACCATTGCTCTGAGACAATTTCAAGTAAGTCTTTATTAAACATGTAGAAGGCTTTGTAAAGAGTATGTCAATATTTCATTATCTTTACAATCTGAATCTTGAACTAAATTTAAAAGACATTTTCTACTGATGTGCTGACAAGATGAAAGAGAAACACAGACGAGTAACATTAAATATTTCCTTTGGGTTATATAAAATTAGGTGCTTTTAACACCAATTTTCTACCTTTCATTTTAATTTTGGAAATACTTCAAATTAGAATACAACTTCACTCATAAAAACAGATATAGGGATGACTGATACATATCTATTTCTAAATGTGTCATCCATGTTTAATCTAATATAATTGTAATTTGAATTAAACCATTTCCTTTTATGAGGTCCTTTCCTTTGATTTTTAATATATACCAATAATTACCTCATCTATGCTAGATAAAAGCAGGAAATGGTAGCTGCCTAGTTATACTTCATTCATGGTTACCACATCATCCATGATTGCTACACAACTCTAAATTAATGGAGGCATCGCAATTCCACCTCATGCACAACAACTAGAGGTCTGAAAACCTTTATGGTTCCAAAGAAGAATTATCAGTAACACCTTTTCACTATGCATTATGCAAGTTTCACCCACAAAATAAATAATAATTCGCTGTTCTCTCAAAGAAAAAATGTCCCTTCTGTCTATAGAAAAGGTTCAATTGCTATTAGAACAAAAATATTTTCAAATTTAAAAATAGTAAAGGATTTCTCTGTGAAATAATAAAGGAAAATAATCCAGGTTCCTAGCTTTGGGGTCCTGAATGAAAGAGAAATGAATACATAGGAATTTCTACATATAAGTAAATTAGCCATTAATGTAACTTTATATTATCAATGCTCAAACTAGAGTTCATAAAATAACACATCTTTATATTAAAATTTCATTACCCAATTCCATGAGATAAAATTAAAATACTTCAAATATGGCTTAAAAAGAGCAAAGTCACCTCTACTTGTGATGCCAAATGTGCTTTCTCCTTGTCTTTTCTCTCCATGCACCGTTTCACTTCCTCTAACTCAGATGCCATTGCATTGAAGTTCAGCTGCACTCTCAAATCTGACATTTGCTTCTCCAGGTCCTGTTTTTCCCGCTCAACCCCTTGAAAGACAAAACGGAAGGGCTCCAACCAGTTGCTTCTATTAGTAGAGACGGTTCACCGTGTTAGGCTGTCTCGATCTCTGACCTGATCCCCGTTCGCCTCCAAGTGGGATAAGGCTGGCCACCATTGTTCTTTATTTACAGAAGAATGTACTTTCAAATAGTACTGAGACCTGATGTTTCAATATTCTAGCTATCATAATCCACTTACTGACACTGTTATTCAACAGACTTTGCCAGCCTGTTGTTTCAAGTTTTATAACTTTCAAAAACATATACATTGCTATGTCATCAAATATTATTCCAGTTTGATACTAAAACTTAAAATGTTACCTGATTTCTACTGCAATTTATTTCAAGAAAATCATACACATTTTTTAATTTAATTTTCCTCACATCTCTACATTATCTCCAAACAGTAAAACAAAAATACAAAAAGTTTTCAACAAAGTCACTTCATCTACAAAATAATTTTCTTGCAACATAAACAACAAACGATGCTATTAAATCTCTGATTGTGTATGGCCAATCAATTTACTAATCCTTACTAATCTGGAGATTACTACCTGAAATTAATATATCATTTAACAATATAAGTTGACTTAGTATTTAAATCAGCGTGAAATACTTGATCTATGATACACAGGGGACCTTCTTCTAATATAAGGACAAATAATATAAAAATTCATCCTCAATGAGATTACATCCTGATGTAATTTGGCTCTGTCCCCACCCAAATCTCATCTTGAATTGTAGCTCCCATAATTCTCACATGTTGTGGGAAGGACCAAATGGGAGGCAATTGAACCATGGGAGCAGTTCTTTCCCATGCTGTTCTCGTGATAGTGAATAAGTCCCATGAGATCTGAGGGTTTTATAAAGGAGAGTTCCCCTACACAAACTCTCTTCCCTGCCACCATGTAAGACATGCCTTTGCTTCTCCTTTGCCTTCTATCATGATTGTGAGGCCTCCCCAGCCATGTGTTACTGTGAGTCCATTAAACTTCTTTCCTTTATAAATTACCCAGTCTCGAGTATGTCTTTATTAGCAGTATGAGAACAGACTAATACATATCCCAATAATAGAGACAAAATATAAATTACTTTATGGAGTCTAAAATGTCAACAATTGGAACATGTACTGTCATTTAAAAACTACTATCTTTCTAGTGGTTTCCTTTCCAGAAAAAAAAAAAAGAAGGGAATGAAAGAAGAAAACACTAACAAATTAAATTTATACATCATGCGTAAAATACATTCCAACTTCAGAATACTAGTGTTCAAAATTGTATGTATTAGAAGGGAAAACATATGGGCATTTCAATAGGATGATAAGAGCATTGATAGATACATGTGGATTATACAGAAACAGTACAAACAGTAAAAGGGATTAGCGCTGTCTCAGTGAGGAACTAAGGTAGGAAGAACTGAGAACTAAGTCAGACTTAAAGAATGAATACAAAATTTCACCAAGCAAAGGAGAAGGAGTTGGGGTGTTTTTAGGGAAAGCACACACCTAGCATACAGGTACAAAACTGAATTTAACATTCAGGTAACTGCACACACAGTAGTTTTAAGTAGCCAATACATCTCATATGTTATAAGGGTGGGAGGGAGTGTCAACAGAGTTTATGTGTTGCTAGGAAACTTAGAATTTATCCTACAAACCAAGCATCAGCAAACATTTTCTATAAAGTATCAGATAACAAATATCTCAGCTGTATGATTTCTGTCACAACTACTCAATTCGACCATTGTATTGCAAAAGTAGCCTAGACATTGCATAAACAAATGGGAGTAGTTGTGTTCCAATAAAGTTTATTTACAAAAACAGGTGGCAGTCTGGATTTGGCCCATGAGCCCTACTTTCCCTACTTCTGATAGGTATCCAACCTGCAAATGTACATATTTATCTATTTGTAAATGTATTTGTTTATTTTATAAATATATGTATTTATAAAATATACATATAGTATACGTAATGAAACATTTCCCAAAGTTAAAATATTTAAAACAAAAAGTATAAAATATAAACAGCATTACAAACACTCGATTTTAGAGAATGTTTGGTCAATATAGGATAGCAGTTAAGATCTCAAGTTTGGGGGAAAAAAATCGGAGTCTGCTACTTCCCTCATGTGTGATCTTGGGCAAGTAACTCAACCTCCTTATTCTCGGGTCCTTTTTTTAATCATTAATATAGAAATAAGAAATAATAATAGTGTCCTTTAGTAGTAGAAAAGAAAATAGATTTCAGAGAGGCCAGAATAGGTAAGACAAGAGAGTGCTACATGTCCTATACTGGCCCAAGCATGCTTAAGCTGGGGGAGTGGGAATAAGAAAGAGAATGTTGCAAATTCAAGAGATATCAGGATGTATAAATAGGCATGAGGTAGAAACTAATTATATGGAGGAGAGAATAAATAATTTCTATGTTCTTTGTATTTTAGACTTGGATGTCTGGATGGAAGATGATGCCATACACTGAGAAAGGAAAGGAAAAACATGTTTTGAGGAGACGATGAATTCAGCTGTGTATCAACATGCATTCTGAGGAACAGCATACAGAGATAACCAATGAGCAACTCTATCTGGAGGGCCAAAGGTTAGGAGAGCAAATAGAGCTAGATTTAGGAATTATCACCTATAGGTGATAATTTTTAATCAATTCCCAGGCAGAAATACTAAGTAACAAAAGCCATGAATAGGATAGTGGGCAAAATCAACATTTAAAAGACACAGTGAACACAGCAAAAAGATTCTAATACAAAGAACGTAAATAACTAAGGCAGAAGAATTAGGAAAGGCAAGGAGCATGGAAGTCAGGGGAAGACTTTCAAGAAGGAAGAAGAAATAAGCAGGTAACAGTAAAATAAGTAATGAAATGATATCCTTGGAATTGACAGAGGAGATTGCTAGCAAACCATGCAAAGTCAATTTTACAAATAGAGGTGGAACCCATTTTGCAGTGGGCAGAGGAAGAAATACCAGCTGAAAATGTGGTAAGTATGATTTCTACTGTAGAACTGTCTTTAAATAATATAAGTATTCTGTAAAGAATGAAAAACTCTACAGTTGTTAAAAGGTGAAGAAGTCCATTATCACATATACAAAAAAACTTCCAAAATTTTTTTCGTACCTGATAAGTAGCTAAGAAAAGCTCAATATTTTAAGTCCTCAAAGACTTACAACAAAAATAATTACATTTTATGAGGTATCAAAACATACAACAAATGTGTTGGTCTTTTTTCCAACAATTCCCATGTACATCTTTATGAAATTTGATGAAGAAGCTAACAGTTTAGGATTGTTTAAAAATAAGTGATATTCTGGGTCAAATGATACTTACATTATATCACACGGAACTTAATGAAACTTAATGGCATACAAATAAAAATATGCTAAGGTTTGGATATAGTTTATTTGTCCTCACCAAACCTCGTGGTGAAATATTATCCCAACTATGGCTGTTAAGAGATGGGGCCTAGTGGGAGGTGTTTGGGTCATGGAGACAGGTCCCTCATGAATGGCTTGGTGCCCTTATTGTAGTAGTGAGTGAGTTCTTGCTCTCCTGAGGCTGGATTGGTTCTCAAGGGAATTGATTAGTTCAGACAAGAGTGAGTTTTCAGAACTCCACGACATCCCTTAAATTTGGTCCCCCTTTACACATCCCCACTCCCCAATTGACCCCCTTTACATTGTTTTGATGCAGCACAAAACTCCTCCCCAGAATTCAAGCAGATGCTAGAGCCATGCTTCTGGTACAGCCTACAGAACTGTGATCTAAATAAAGCTATTTTCTTTGTAAATTATCCAGCCTCAGGTATTCCTTTAGTGTAACACAAAACAGACTAAGAAAATATATTAATTAGAGGCCAGGCGTGGTAGCTCACGCCTGTAATCCCAGCACTTTGGGAGGCTGAGGTGGGCAGATCATGAGGTCAGGAGATTGAGACCATCCTGGCTAACACGATGAAACCCCATCTCTACTAAAAATACAAAAAAAAAAAAAATTAGCTGGGCGTGGTGGCGGGAATCTGTAGTCCCAGCTACTCAAGAGGCTGAGGCAGGAGAATGGCGTGAACCCGTGAGGCAGAGCTTGCAGTAAGCTGAGATTGCACCACTGCACTCCAGTCTGGGCAACAGAGCGAGACTCTGTTTCAAAAAAAAAAAAAAAATATATATATATATATATATATATATGTATATTAGAATAGGTTTGCCAAAATTTGTCATCCATTGATGATTTTCTGGCAATGTGGAAATTCTAGCTTAGGCAACATATGGAGATGTATTTGGAAAGCCTGGGGCAATATTTACCTTCCCTGAATTTAATACTACATCAAACACTTAAAAAAATTTCACCAATATTTTGAGCATTTGAGTAGGAAGCCTCATTATTGGAATAATATAGAAGCTGAGCAATGTGAACTCACCTAATAGAAACCATTATATAATCTCAATATTATCAGTCATTAAGCCTGAACATACATCCAGTCATTAAATTCCATAATTTAAATTAACACCTCCACTGAGAAGGTATCCTAATATTTTTCAAACACAAAGTGTTCCTAATCCACATTAAGAGCCAGTGATACAGCTCATGGCTACGACTGAGTTGTAATTAATTTTTGTCACCAACTCCAGATCACAAAAAAGATAGGGTATTAACTTTAATTTCTCCTATATTGAAAACTGAGATAAGAGAATGTGAAAGACAGAGCGACATTTACAGTGTAAGTACAAAGACTGGTACATACATACACATAAGCACATATATTTGGGCATGGGAATAGGAGGCTGGAAAAACTACTGCTTTTGCAGGCTCCTTCTAAGTGAAAACCATCCATGGTTAAGCAGGTCTAATAACCCAAATGGGTTTGAACCAAGCAGGGAAGATATTAAAATGGGATGATGCTAAATTATTATCAACTTATCAGAAACTTTTTAATAGATCAAGAAACAGTATGACATGAGCATCACAAAGGAACGCAATTTCTGAGGATGAAAAGTATTTTCTAAGAAAGACCAAAAAGCCCCCACACAAATTATCACATTATTATGTACAAATCTACATTTTACCTCTCCTAAATCTCCAGTCCTCCCCTTGTTCATCCTGATAGTTTGACTGTTGCTTGGAAATCTGAGACACTTGATGCTGTAAACCCTTTCGATCACCCTCTGCTATCGTAAGTTGTGCACGCAGTTCTTCTACCTAAACACATCGTCAAAAATCAAACATCAGTTTTCACAATCAGTAAAAGACCTACTTCAAATGGGCTATTGTAAACGCAAGTTGAATCCAGGTTAATCTCCTTCCAAGCATAGTGGAACGGTTCCCTGCTCCATTTCCTCATTCCTCTCATTTATTCCACAAAGAATAAATGCATGGTTTTTCCTTCTCTGTGTCCATTGTGGCAAAGAATGTGATCGGATTTTTTTTTAATCACTTATTTTGTCCTCAGTCTACTCCATTACTATTAACCCAAATCAACTTCAATTAAGTATTATACGTTTTTATATTTTTCTATTTTCACCCATTTGCTTTCATGTGAACATGGTCTATTGGTTGTCAAATTCAAGATAAATGATCATGATTTAGCATATTTTGATATTAAAATAATGCTCAAAATAAATATGTAATAGATGCTGTTGAATAAACTCTAAACTCCTTGAAGTCAGAAACTGATTTAGCTTTCTATCCTTAGACTGCCAAATTACCTAGCCCATAGCAGGTACTTCCAAATGACCATTAAACAAGTTAACAGTGACAAAAAGATTCAGCTAAAATCACAATGACAACCTAAACAAAGAAATATCTTGCTTCCATAACTGAAACTGGAGATTATAAGTCAGAGTTCCAAACAAATCAGAATGGAATTAAATACAAATATAAACTTCTAAAAAGGAAAGTTTGAACTCTGCCAAAATTAATTCCATGTGACCACTGGCTGCAGAACAAAGTCAGCGAATATTTTCAAAGATTTTGTAAAACAGGTGCTATCTTGTATTTTCAGCACCAATTGTCAAAATGTAATACTCCTTCTGAACATCTATAATGCCTGACATCTTTGCCTACCCCTAGCATATTCTGAAGGTGAGTTATATAACACACACTTCAAAACAGAAGGAAGTGTAATTGCAGTTTGTATTACACACAGACAGAGAGGCAATTAGAAACCCATATGCCCTTATTCAATGTATGTAAGATGGTTATTTAAAGTTACTGAACTTTAAACATCAGAAGCACCAAACTCACATTATGGGCTGATGGAATGCAAAATGTTATACTTAATAATTAAGCCTTATCGGCCAGGTGTGATGGCTCACACCTATAATCCCAGCATTTTGGGAGGCCGAGGCAGGGGATCACGAGGTCAGGAGATGGAGACCATCCTGACCAACATGGTGAAATCCCGTCTCTACTAAAAAAAACCAAAACATTAGCCAGGTGTGGTGGCGCATGCCTGTAATCCCAGCTACCGGGAGGCTGAGGCAGGAGAATCACTTGAGCCCGGGAGGCGGAGGTTGTGGTGAACCGAGATTGCGCCACTGCAGTCCAGCCTGGCAACAGAGTGAGATTGCGTCTCAAAAAAAATAAAATAAAATAAGCCTTATCTTTGGTTCAAAAGGGTCAAGCAGTATCTTGAAAACATGAATTAAAGACAATAATGTTATTCAAAGTAACATAAACATGCAAAGGTCTGTTTTATGTAGTTTACTTCTTCCTTTACTTCCCAATGCCTCCTGGAATAAAATTAAGCTCCTGGGAAAATTTTATCTTATACATTCAGTCTTACTTTTACACTGCTCATGCTAAGAGAGATAAGTAGTAAGTTGTAGCAGCAATCAGCAAGATACACCAACACAGTGGGGACTTTGGCTGATGTTTGTACTAGCTTTCTCTGAATTTACCTGAAAGAATTTTATCTTTTGCTTAGTGTGCTAATATACATTCCTTAGGAACACATTTTTTTCTAGACCTAGTTTTTTTTTTTCCCTTTCACAAAGACATTTAAATAGAGCTACTCAATCCTGATTTAATGTAAAAGTATATTATAATAACTTGCACAGACTTACCTGATGCAAAAGTGTTTCTCGGCTGCCTTCAGATTGATTCAATAACTTTCGAGATAGCTCCAATTCCTGTTCAAGCTAGAGTTTCAACAAAGGATAAATAAAAATGTCCAATGGAATAGAAGATAACTAAATTATTATGGGCACAGTTTTAAAGGAGAAAAGTGGAAAAGTTTTCAGAAGACATTTACAGCTAACATAAAAGAATAAATCTCTCACTATGAACATATATCAATACTTCCATTAAAATAACGTTAATCGGCCGGGCGCGGTGGCTCAAGCCTGTAATCCCAGCACTTTGGGAGGCCGAGACGGGCGGATCACGAGGTCAGGAGTTCGAGACCATCCTGGCTAACACGGTGAAACCCCGTCTCTACTAAAAAATACAAAAAACTAGCCGGGCGAGGTGGCGGACGCCTGTAGTCCCAGCTACTCGGGAGGCTGAGGCAGGAGAATGGCGTAAACCCGGGAGGCGGAGCTTGCAGTGAGCTGAGATCGGCCACAGCACTCCAGCCTGGGCGACAGAGCGAGACTCCGTCTCAAAAAAAAAAAAAAAAAAAAATAACGTTAATCGTACAACATGAAGTGAACTAGACCAGGCCTCAGGAAGTCAGGATCTAGTACGTTTCATCTCAACTGTGAGTCAGTCCCAGTCTCTTCTCCTTAGGCCTCCGTTCTGTCATCTCTAAAATAAAAATTTTATATTAAACAGTCTCTGAGATCCCTTCCAGTTCTAAATCACTTTAATCTAAATTCTAAGGCAATTTTTTTTTTTAAATTAGAAAATGTAGTGTCAAATTAACTAAATTAGAATAAAAACGGCAGGGACCCAATAACTCAAAAGTTTCATTTAATTGGTGATTTCCTACATTCCTAATATTTCTAATATTCATAAGACATTCCTTAAATTTTTAAATGTCTAAATTCAGAATGAGACATTTAAAATTTCCTTAATGATACTGCCATGAGATAAATATCGATAAAAAATGTGACCAGTTCAGGAGATCGAGACCATCCTGGCTAACATGGTGAAAACCCACCTCTACTAAAAATACAAAAAATTAGCCAGGCGTGGTGGCGGGCGCCTGTAGTCCCAGCTACTCAGGAGGCTGAGGCAGGAAAATGGCGTGAACCCAGGAGGCGGAGCTTGCAGTGAGCCATGATCGCGCCACTGCACTCCAGCCTGGGCAACAGAGCGAGACTCCGTCTCAAAAAAAAAAAATGTGACCAGTTAAGTGACTAAATATTCTACAAACTCCTAACATGCCTAGATGATTTCAAGCTGAAATATGTAATAGGATAGAACACAAGTTTCTTAAAAATTTAGACCTTATATGTGCTAGACTTATTTGCATTCTGTAACATTAAGGTAGTTTTATAAAAATCGCACATTTATATTAAGATGCTCGTAAGTGCTTAGATTTATAGTACTTATTCTAAATTATCATTTCAATTGAACAACTGCTATCTGTATATTAATCCTTTAATAATTGCACATGTGGTAGGTGTGCTTATGAAAGAACATGAGAGAGTCTTGTGGTGATGGAACAGTTCTGTATCCTGATGGTGGTAGTGGTAACAAGAATCTATACAAGATAAAAATGGATTGAACTTCACACACACACACACACACACACACACACACACACAAAACACAAATGAGTATATATAAAGCTGGTGAAATCTGTATAAACTAAGTAGATTGCACCAACAATTTCCTGGTTTTGATATTGAATGGCAATTATGCAAAATGTTACCACTGAGGGAAACTGGGTGCATGGGACCTCTCTGTGCATCTTGTTTTACAATATCCTATAAATCTATAATTATTTCAAAATATATCTTTAAATCTCAGTATATAATTTTTTTAAAATTATACATGTGGCTCATAAAACAAATGTCATATTTTTAAAAAAGTAAAGTATATGTGGGGATCACAGAATCCACATAAAATACTGTCTGACCTATTCTTTAGTCTCTATGGAGAAATAGAGTAAAGAAATCATAATTGAAGCAAAATGACTTTGAAATCAACCAAAGCCCATATTGGTCATAATCCCTGTGTAATTTCAACATCACAACTCCCAAAGGGCAAATTTGATGACCTAACATACTTCGCTTACCCTGAAAGCAGCAGGGAAGCTGCCTTTACATGAGTTGGTGAAATAAAATAAAAGAGGCAATGGTAGGTAGAAAAAAGCAATATGGAGTAAAGAACAGGGCAAATTTTCACTTCATCTTCCATTACTTTGAGCTCATCCTTAAATCTACTTATTCACAAATTAAGGAAGAGTTGTTTGGCCTCTGAATTCCTTTCTAACTCTAAAGTGCTAAGCTCTACGTGCTCATAGACATGAACACACAGTTCATAAACATGAACATAGGTCAAAGGTCATTGATATTTAATTTAATTGAATAGAAATAGAGAATGCTTCCAGAACTGGGCTGCTTACTGTATCTGTCCACTATAATGAAAATGAATATAACCAAAATATTCAGTCTCCAAATGACAGGTCTTTTCTAACCCTGCAACAAAGTCAAGTTCTTTAAATGTTTCCAACAAGAAAAGGTAAAGTTTAATTCACCTCTCAGAAGGCAGAGTGGTCATAGATGACAAGGTAGCAAACAACTTGCTTCTCTGTTTCCAAGAGTAAGTCCTAGCAAGCAGAAGAGCTGTTGAACCAATTGACTCCACATAGAAAGATAAAGAATTCACAGTGTTCTAAAGGATCCTGGGGACACTTTTCAAGGCACTCAACAAATACCATTGGCCCCAAACCACTTTATTCTTTGAAAGATAACTTTTAAAATCTTACTTGATTCTTCTCAGTTTCAGTTTGTATTAGCTTATTTTTTATTGCCCCCTCATGCTCATCTGCTTTAGCTTCTTGTTTCTTTAGTGCCTAGAATGAAAGAGGTGGGAAAAAAAAATTATTCCAAAATATGTACAAAACTGAAAGTCACTACTAGAATTTATTATGTATTAGGGCTGAGGAAGACATGGATATAAGTTACACAAAATCTATAAATTACAACCTGCTCATTCACTGTAACCCTAAGAACACTTCAGTGGGAACAAAATATAAACAATAAGCAATTCCTGATCATCCTAATTAATATTCACTTAATTTCCTTTTTTTCCCCATCTTTGGGAATTTTATTACATTATTTAGAGGGCCTAGATAGCTAACAGTTTTCTTGGAAACAAATATTCTTTTCTACAGTTTCCCCTCTTTAATAAAATGAGGAAAAAGAACTTTAAGAAAATACACATTTCAAAAGTTAACTATAAAAGTGTTTGGTTTGTTTCTACGTTAAAACAAAATTAAACTTAAAGGGGAAAATTATACTTGGAACTGTCTTTCATAATATCTGAAATGCATTCCATTCGCTTAAAAAATATTTTTAACAATTTTAGTGTTTAGACTTAGCAAGGGGTATGTGTACGACTTGTAAAAAGCCAAGTTGCCAGAAGCTTTTCCAACAAGATCAACAGAAAACCAATTTTTAGGCAAACAGCAAAATATGTTAAAAAGTGCTTTGATGCAAGTATACTCAATCAATTTCAGCTCCCTCTGCCATAATTCCTACTCTCAAATAGAAATTGAGTAATGAGGCAGAGAAGCATCAACAAAATGAAAAATAATTTTGATTTGAGAATAACAATATTATCACACTTTTACAGTGTTTAGTATGTCCAGGCATTCTTCTTCTCCTTACATATAATAAATAAATATATTACATATATTCAAAATATACATTTACTCCTCATGATGATTCTACGAATTATTATTATTCCCAGCCCATTTTATTAAAGGGGAAACTGGAGCACAAGGAGTTGAATCATTTGCCTAACGTCACTCACCTACTTAGTGACAGAGACAGGACATAGATTATGGCTGCCTGCCTCTTAACAACTGAGTATACTGCTTCTTCATATTGATATAATAATACAAAACTTAAAGGGTAATGATGAAAACTCAATGGTTTGAAATCTGTAGAGCACATAAAGCAATGTCTGGCTCCCAGCAAATGTGCAATAAAATGCAACTATTATTATTGGTAACAATAATAGACTGGGTAACAGAGTGAGATCCTCAAAAAAAATTAAATAAAAAAAATCAAAACTTCTATATTTAAGTTGGTTGAATAAAAGAAACTCTAATTCTCTTGGATACTTAGAAATTTGCTAAAATAATATTGTGCTACTCCTTTCTTCCTTGCTTTCCCCTTACAACATCTAATAAGTTATTTATCATATTGATTTTCCAAAATAATGTACTTTTCTATTATAGCTCTACTTGCTGCCTAAAACTGTATTTAATAGTCTCCTTTTTTCAATTTCTCCTTTTATTCTAAGTATATATAAGTTTTTAAAAATTTTTGTGAATGATAACTTAAATTCTATTGTTTTCAATAAGGAGCAAAAGTGAGATACTAAGGAACAATCCAAAGCAAATTACTACATTTCCACTATATCATCTAGAAATGCCATTAAGTTTGAACACTAGCTCTGCTTTCTATATACCATGAGTCAGTAACCAAGTAAACACAAATGCAATACCCTAGCCTAGAATACTGAATCGGTTTTTCTACATTATTTAGTTTAAAACGAAAGACAAGGAAAAGCTAACACTTAAGGCCCATTAAATATATGTTGATGCACCTGTAAACACTGAAAACACAAACAATACTCAAAGAGAGACATTTTTAAATTAACCAAATCAAAATTACAAGCCATTTCTTTAAACCTTAATAATAAACGTTAACTAATTTACTACCTTTTTTTAAGGGTGTAAGCCTGCACTGGATTTCTTTTCCATTTGACTTAAAACAAGCAACTTAGAATTATATTAAAACTGACCCAGTAAAAGCAGTTATAAAAGAAGAAAAAAAATTCACATGTCAATGAATTTCAATAATTACGTTATTTTGTTCTTGAAAGCTTGTTTGTTTCCTAAGAGCAGTTTAGCTAAAAGCTATCATGTGCCCTGCTCCAGGATTTAGATTGTCTTTTACATGTTCAAGATCACAGCAACAACACTGAGCCTTAATAGAGGGTCCCCGGGGCACATTTAAATCTTTAATAACAACAATTTTTCTTCTTTCCCTTAAGTGTGTCGTATCGTGTATTGTACTACTGCATTTCCTTAGAAGTAGGCGATTCTAAACTCTCATAGTTATATATAGTTTTTAAAAAATGTAGCTTTTCCTTTCAGAGAGTAGTAAAAAGGGGAAAAGAAAAATGTTTGTAGACCTCTCACTTAACCATAAAAATCTCTACCACATTGACAACAAGCATGTTTATCAAGAGGCTCTAACAGACAACACACTCCAAGATGTAGAACAAATAGGGAATTAAAGGCCCTTTGTCTGCTTTAAATGGACCAGCAAGCTTGGTTAAGAATGATGGCATGGGAATGAAATAAAAATCACATGTTAATTCCCACACAGGCCAATGAAATTTCCGGAGAAAAATTATAAACATAACCTATCCCAACTTATCCTAATCACTCAGCAGTGCTACAATTGCACGCCTTTGGTCACAAGGGCAAGAACTTGTAGATCATTTACTGGTAAACTAACAACACTACAAAAAAACAAGTATGTGCTCATATTAAACAGTCAACATCATTTACTTGAAGGTACAAATTATCAAATCAGATTTTTTTCCAGTAACAATAAAAAATGAAGAAGTTATATCACTAAACACTAGAAAATCATTGTTCTTACTATATTTTGTAATTAAACTCTTCACATGGGTAGAAAATAAAAGCCAGTGGACAAATATTTTAAGCTTAACAGAATATAATGTGATTCCAATCCAAATTAGACCACATGAGCTATAAACTGAAGTTATATGTTGTTTATATTTATGTATATTAAAATTTTAAGGTAGCGTTAAGGACACTTTCAATCGAGCAAAAACTCCATTAACTCTAGTACTGAGTATGTATAAAACACTATCATGGAAACTTTATTTAATTAAAAATTTTTTTAAGATGGAAATCTGATGTCTATCTCAAAAATTCTTTTTGGACTTTGCCGAAACACAGGTCCAAAGGCATCAAACATTAATAAAATAATACATATATTTAAAAGGACTCTATATGCATAATACAGCAGGATTTTATTGCTCAGAACATGTACTACTCATTTATATTAACACATACTTTTTTTGTCATGTTCTTTGAATTTCTAAATTATGCTTTTCCCAAATCAAGTTAGAGATTCCTCCCCCATGAGAACTAGCTAAAGTAATGGAAAATTTTAGCCTTTAAGTTCATCCAGTTGGGGATTATCTGCGCCAACAAAAACCAAAACAAAAAAAATTAAGTTTCTTTTCAAGGCAAAAAAAAAAAAAAAAAAAAAATGCATTCATATTCTAAATCCCTGAACCAATATCTAATTTAAAAATAGCTAAGTGGATATTACTTAAATTGTTCAAAGAAATTTATTTTTCAGCCATGACCAAGGAAAGGAAATTCTACAACAACTACAACTTAAAAAATAAAAAATAAAACAAACCACACACACCACACACTTTGGTAGGTGAAAAGTAGAAATGCTTGATAGAAGTCCAAAAGGAATTCAATACTGAAACTATTATGATACCACACAAACTTAAGGGATATCAAAGTAAGGAAGAAATTCAAAAATCTTGGTACGAATTGAACTGTGTGTATTTTCCAGATGGAAATGGTAAGCACATAAGTCACAAAACACAACAATTCCTCTTGTTCAAAGGGTAATATCCAATATCATGTAGTTAAGTAGGATCGATCATAAGTTAAATACTATTTCTGATAGTAATAGTAATCCTTAATAACATTCCTTAAAGATACCTGTGGTATTTAAACATAAAGCTCAAGGTTTTATTTTAAGAATGGCTTAGATTTTTTTTTTTCTCTTCTAATAAGATGTTTATTATTTCAAGAATCCCAAAAATACACAAGGGCTCTTATAGGAATTATCTTGGTGGAAGAGATGGATGCTTTTTACTGACCTATTTTCCCCAGTGAACAAACAAACTTCTTGGTTCCACTATGCCCATACCTACGGAATCTACCACTGTTTAGGGCACCCAGTGTCAACGAACCCAAACAAGGTCAAGGGTTCAGTCACGAATTTCCTTTGCTCTGTTTCATGGACACAATCTTTACCCTAAACCTAGCCAAGGGCCTCACAGAAGGCTAACTAGACCAGAGATTATGAATGAATCTGCAAAAATTCAATACCATGACTACAATAATAACTCAAAGATAAAACCCCTGTTGACTAGTGTCAGGATTTCATTCTTCAAATGTTGTAAACTTGCCAATCTGCAAAACAAAACCTTAATTACTTCATAAAAAAGCCAGTATGCTAAAAAGACATACAAGTCTTTTAACTTCTTTAATTCAAAAGCAACAATGGTAATGAGTATTATTCCCTAACATGCCATTGCTTTTACTGGAACAGATTATATTTTTATGCAATCTTTAACTTCATAAAAATCTTGCAAGTAAAGTTAAATGTGAGCCCAACAAGTGCACTTTCCAGGATTTCCTTCAAAATCAAAAAACAAATGCTCCTAGTAGAAGGTCTGTTTTTATCTGAGTAGTTTGCTCTCAAAAAGAGATGCATAGTTTTATTAGAAATCCACAGTAATATAATACTTCATTTGACTTTCTAAATGCAGGACCACTGAGTTAGGATTGTTGACAAATAGAAGATCATACATAGATAATCATGGAAATTTAATTTAGAATTTCTCAAGTTGTATATCTTTGAACAGAAAGCTCTGTAAATATACAACATCTTTCAGTGTCCAGAGTTAGAGGATGTTATTTTATGCCTTTGGATTTAGGAGGATTTTTTTGTTTTTCACTATTTTCTAATAAAAATAAAACAGTACTAAGTC